GCAAACAGTCGCGGATGGCCGAGTCAGGCGCACACGACGTGAAGGGCCAATCCATATTCCAGTCAACAGGAGGCACGCAAGCACAAACTGTGCAGGCAGCTGTGGGGATCGCAGCACGTGAGACGCGGACAGTGTGACGGACGAGCGTGTTGCCTGTTGCCGAATTCCATCGGTGCTCACCAGCGCTACACATACTGTTTTTGTGCCGTACGCGACACGAAACGGCAAAAGCTACTGCTAGGCGGAGGCATTGAGCAGCACCCAGGCCCCATAGCAGCACTCCAGATGAACGGCTCTTCTCTCACGCCGAACAAAATTGCAACGTTAATAACGCAATGAGCAGACGTTGATAGCCATCCAGGATATCCGGAAGCCGTCGGAGCAAATCGCCAGAATGCACACTGGGGATTACGTGCTCCATGCACAAGCGCGTATCGGCAAGAAAGGCGGTGCTGGTGCGGAAAACTCTCCGCTCCAGGCATACACCCCTCACCATCACTCAACATGATCCCGGCCTCGAAATGGTGGTGGTCCAAGTCGCCCTGGAGCAGAACCGTGGCCTCAGCGTAGCGGGTGCCTACATGCCAGTGCCACTGCAAATATCGCAATCCCTTAGGCGGTTACTAAACTGCCTTCCGGCCTCGGCACCGCTCCTTCTGTGCGAAGATTCCAACGCGCATCGCCCACAGTGGGAGTCCTTCCTGGAGACGCCTCCAAGCGACGTCGCCGTAGAATTTTTACAAGGGTGCGCGGATGCGGGATTCACCTTGGTTGACACCCCTGACGAGATCACGCATGTCCGTGGCAGACGAGAGGAATCCTGCACCGATCAAACAGGGTCAATGCACCTTGCCGTGTCGGATTGGAGAGCCAATGTGTCGCCACTCAGTGACCACCACATGCTCACCTGCACGTTGCACCAGGCATGCGTCGACAGCATCCCCTCGGCGCCCCCTTCGGTACGCCAACTTTTATACAGCTGGGGAAGTGCAAGTGGGAGTCCTTCGCCAACGATCTCGACGAATACATCTCAGTATACGAATATAAGAAGCAGTCAACCGACGTAAAATATTTCACGCGAGTGCCTGCAGTTTCACTTCAACAGCATTGACTGGGCGGCATGCACAAGGACGGTCCCAAGCTCTGGGATGGCATCCTTGCGGAAGCGGAGCGGATTGCTGCCGACTGCAAGACCCGCTGTCTGCGGCTGCCAACGCCCAACCGTGAGGCGGAGATCCAACGGACAAGGAGTCAAACTTTCCTCCTACTCCGAGAGCGCTTGCGCAACACGCATCCACGGCGCATCAGCACGCTGAATACAGGTGAACCGCTCTCCTGAAAATACATTGCGGGACGAAAAAGGGAACCATCACCACCATCCCCCACACCAGCGTTAATGGGCGATGGCCACAATAATTTCAGGACAGCACTAAGAGCAGAGGATGCTCTCAATCATGGATTCCTCCCATATCACTCCCTCGCAGAGCGGTTGGGTTTTCCAAAGATCAACGCGGACAGAACAAGTCCCTGAACATTTTTTCTCTCTCTCCCATCTTGGGCCGCTGAACAACAACGAGTCGGCCGCCTCATCTGCGACAGGCTCTCTCCCCCACCCCTCTTGATGCCCCTTTCAGTCAAACGGAACCGCTTTCTGCGCTGCGTAGTGCACCGTACGGCAAGGCCCCGGACCGCACGAAGTCTACAGTGAGGCACTACGACATCCTTCGACGAAGCGTCTCCGATTCCCTCTCCGCTGCATTGACCACAGCTGGACGACCGGCAGGATTCCGGTCGGGTGGCGACAAGCCACCATCGTCCCACTCCTGCAACCCGGCAGGCTGCCGGCACTAATGGCTTCATGTCGACCCATCAGCCTCACGTCCATCGTGAGCAAGGTCGCTGAGAAAATAGTACTGAAGAAATTGCTTTAGGTATGGACGCCACACCCCCACCAGTACGCATATCGTAGCATGTGTACCACGGCGATGCAGCCGGCCAAACTGATACACGAAGTTGAGCATAACAGAAACGATTGCTTCCAAGTGAACCTTCCCAAGAAGAGCGGTGTTGGCACTCAACTCCACTGCGGACCCCATCGGACTCTGTTGGTGCTGGTAGACTCCAGCAAGGCCTTTGACTCCATAGATCATCGAGTCCTCAGTCGCTTGCTGGCTAATATTCCGGGGCAAAACGCCAAAGGTGGCTTAGAAACTTTCTGTGTGGCTGTTACGCAAGACACGAGTGGCCAATAAACTCAGTGATCGACGTCCCAAGCTGCGACGGGCTCCTCAGGGGTCCGTATTGGGACCGTATATCTTCTCCCTCCACGCACACCCACTCCTCACGCTGCTGAACAGCTTCTCAGACGTCGCAGCAGACATGTGCTCGGATGATCTCTCTATTGTCATCGAGGGACAGTCTCGGCAAGTCGCCATTCCCGCAGCCGGCATGGTTCTCAAACAACTGCATGCGTGGAGTCAGGAAAATGACATGGCCACCAACCAGTCGAAGTGCGAAGCCGCTTGGTCCATACTCTCCACGCACACGGAGTCAGTCTATGACCGCGAAGGAAAGTGGCCCCTGGCAGTGACTGGCTGCGAGATTCCAGTCACGGCCATTGGGTCGTCACACACTACGAAGCTTCTTGGCATGGATCTCGATCCACGACTGTCGCTAAATGCGGCGGCCTCCAAGCACTGCACCGCCGCCTTGCAGCGGATATCCCAGCTGCGCTGCATTGCGCATAAAGAAGCGGGACCATCTCCACATGACCTACGCACGTTCGCCATCGGATACAGTGCCTCCAGCTCACCTTATGGCAGTGAACTCATATGGGCAGTAGCGACGGATCCCGCGAGGAATGAGATGCAGAAGACGCACGCAACACTGGTACGCACTGTGAGCGGAGTTCCGAGCACAACTGACAAGAAATCCGCCATGCTGCAGGCCAATACACCGTCGCTCCATGTCCTTTGCCTGCGCACGCGTTTCAGATGGAGCGGATGCGGAAACCGCAGCCTGTGCCTCTGCCTCGCGCAGGTTTCCGCACCTCGCCGTTATCTCTCGACAAACGTTGCGCCTTCGTGGATGCACACACACACAGGACTACGGCGCCACCGAAGACTCACCACGCGAATAGCAGCTCCTTCGTGGCTCCATTCCTCCCTGGTCCGCGGCCTCTGCTCACCGGGTCACCATCGGTGTGGAGCTTCCGGTGGACCACTCGATCACCGACGAAAAAGAGCTGATAAGGGAAAAGCGCAGAGTCAGCGAAGAGGCTCTAGCGCCGCACGGCCATCGTTCGTGGATACTCGCAACGGATGGCGGTGTAGACGTTCCCAGGTCAGCCGGGGTTGGAATACTGCTTTCATCCCTCAATTCATCGAAGATAATAGAGAAGGTCAGTACCAACTGCGGCACACGCCCATGCAGCCGCACGACGGAATCCAGTGCACTGCTCCCGGCCATGGAAAGGCTGAGTGTCCATCGTATCCAGCACAGGCAAAAACCCTGCATGTGGTGACAGACAGTCATTCCCTTCTAGCCGCCGTCACCAAGGGCCCGCGCAGTCATACCGACTGGACGGAGGACCGGATCTGGCAGCGTCTCTTGTCGCTGACGCGTGCCGGCTGGTCCGTGCAGCTGCAGTTTTGTTACGAACATTGCGGAGTACATGTTAACGAGCCTGCAGATCAGCATGCGACGCAGACCACGGCAACCGGGCAATACACGGAACATGGAATAGCACCCATATGGCGCACGGACCTGCTGACATGCATTAACACCCAGCTCACCAACAAGTGGCGTAGCACCATGCATCAGGACACCCACCACTACCTGCTTGGCGGCGCCAGGCCATCAGATCCAGGCGGCAAGCACCTGATTACTCAGGAAGCCCTCGACCAACAGGGAACGGACAAACATTGCATGAGCAGGGTGCGGGGAATCCGAGCTCTGGGGTCGCCTGTACTGGACTGTGAGAGACTGCACGAGCCAACGCCGTTTCTGCAACATCTCACCGGAACAGTCTGCTTATATGCGCTCCAACAATGATCCCACTGCACCGGGACGGAAGCTGTTCCCCCGACGACAAGGGAGGCCGACGCACCGCCTGTGGAGAGACGGCCCTCCACACGGCGTCGGAAGAAGAAATGCCCGCACTGTGACGCCACACTGGTGGGACACACGAACCACATCGGTCACTGTCGGTGCCTTCATCCGGAACACCCTCCACCGCTTCCCGACCTCCACCG